AGGTCGCTCAGTAGTAAAGCGCTTGCCATGCATGCTTGAGGCCCTGGGTTATATTCCTCAGCACCCATAAGCCAAAAAAAAAAGCCGGAAGTGGTACTGTGGCTCAAGTGGTAGAGTGCTAGCCTTGAGCTGAAGAGCTGAGGGACAGCGCCCCAGCTCAGAGTTCAGGCCCACGACCGGACCCAAAATAAAATGAGTAGGGCAAGACCTTTTACAAGCTTCCCAAAAGAATGTCTGTTGCAACAAACTGTAAATAAATGAAAACAGTCTTTCACAGCAACAAATACAAAAAGACTAAAAGAAAACATCAGGTTCTCTTAAAACTATAGTGTAAATGTCTGGCATTCCGGATGGCAATGGTGTCTCCTTAAACAGAAGACACTCCTTGTAGATCAGGAAGGCAAGTGCATGTGTACACACACATACATGCATGTACACACATCCATATAAACAAACATGTATGTAATGCATGTGCAGACACACAGGAAAGCTGAGTGCACATGGTAGCTAAGGACCTACCTTTGAATCTACTGTACTTCTTTCAGACTTCATACCATCTACAAACAAGAGATTGAAAAAGTATCACTGTAGGGTTTGTTCATACAGGTACTACAGTATTTTTTTGGTCGATGGAGGGGCTTGAACTCGGGGCCTAGGCACTTTCCCTCAGCTCTTCAGCTCAAGGCCAGTGCTCTACCACTTGAGCCACAGCGCCACTTCCAGTTTTCTGGTGGTTTACTGGATATAAGAGTCTCATGGACTTTCTTTTTTTTTTTTGAATTTAACCTCACAATTTTATTGTCTTCATAACAAAAGTTGGAGCTTAAAACTGGATCACTTGCCCCTTTCTCTTTTTATCTCCACCCAATTCAAAATGTTTGCATCTCTTAATAGCTAGCAATCTCTTAGATCTACAGTTGGACTCAACACATTCAAGTCTCCGCACAATCTTTGTAGTCTTAGCTTTTTTCTGGAAAATTAGCTTAGTCTGACCGCCATAGCCACTCTGCTTCCTGTCATGACGACGCTTTCCCTGGGCATACAGAGAATACTTGCCCTTCTTGTACTGTGTTACTTTGTGAGGTTGGTGCAAGCCACACTTCTTACAAAAAGTGCGGCGGGTTTTAGGAACATTAACCATGATGGCAGGAAGCCTGCAGCAGCGCCAAAAAAAAGTCTCTCATGGACTTTCCTGCCCACGCTGGCTTTGAACCTCTATCCTCAGATCTCAGCCTCCTGAGTAGCTAGGATTACGGTGTGGGCCACTGGTGCCCAGCTACAGTATCATTTTATGAGGCTCCCCACTCAGCTAATACCAAATGATTGAAACAAACTCATCTTGTGGATTTCTACCTCATCAGGTCCAAATTGTAATTCTTGAGCTGTAAAGCAGCAAACTTCAGTTTGCAAAGTGTTAGATGACAAATGTTATCAAGCCAGTGATAACATGACAGGGAGCTCACTGCTGAATAAACTGGTATATGTTATCACGAGATGTCACATGGAATGCACTTCCTTATTCCTTAAGAAATCATGCTTGAAAACAGGTCATTATTTTAAAAACATGTAATTTATGAGACTTGCTTATACATATGGAAAAATTAACAGCAAATTATATTAATGTACTGTAGGGTCTTACTTTTGGTGGTATTGGGAATTCACGGTTTCCTGCTTGCTATGCAGGCTTTCTACCACTGAGCCACTCCCTAACCCATAATATACACTTTATCCCAGTCCATAACTAGTTTGAATTCAGGGTCTCCTGCTTTCTAGGCTGATGCTCCATTACTTAGGCCATCATCAGCCCTGCTTTTGCTATTTTTTTTTCTTTTATTATTATTTTATTGGGTTAGGGTGAGGGTTAGTGTGAGGGTGAGGGTTAGGGTTAGGCTTAGGGTGAGGGTTTGGGTTAGTGTGAGGGTTAGGTTTAGGGTTAGCATTAGGGTTAGGGTGAGGATAAGGATTAGGGTTAGGGATAGTGTGAAGGTTAGGGTTAGATTTAGGGTGAGAGTGAGGGTGAGGGTGAAGGTGAGGATTAGGGTTCGCTTTTGCTATTTTTTGTTTGCTGTACCAATATGGGGGCTTGAACTCAGGGCTTCACACTCTTGCTTATTAGCTTTTTTGCTCAAGGCTGGTGCTCTACTACTTGAGAGCCACAGTCCCACTTCCAGCTTTTTGGGTGGTTAACTGGAGATCAGAATCTCATGGACTCTTCTGCCTGGGCTGGCTTCAATCTCAGTTCTCGGCCTCCTGAGTAGCTATAATATATAGGCATGAGCCACTGGCTGCACTCATTGGTTATTTTTGAGACAGAGTCTCATAAACATCCCTGACTGGGCTGGCCTAAAATACTTTTGTCTGTCTGTCTGTCTATCTCCCTCCCTCCTCCTCCTTCCCTCAAGGCCTTGATGTTGTTAGGTATGCCCTCTACCACTTTAGCCATTATTACCAGTCATGTAATTTTTTTTTGGGGGGGTCCGGTTGTGGGGCCTGAACTTTGGGCCTGGGCGCTGTCCCTCAGCTCTTCAGCTCAAGGCTAGCACTCTACCAGTTGAGCCACAGCGCCACTTTCGGCTTTTTTCTTTTTGCTTATGTGGTGCTGAGGAATCGAACCCAGGGCCTCAGGCATGCAAGGCAAGCGCTCTACCACTGAGCCACCTTCCCAGCCCCAGCTTTTTTCTTTTTGCTTATGTGGTGCTGAGGAATCGAACCCAGGGCCTCGCATGCAAGGCAAGCGCTGTACCACTGAGCCACCTTCCCGGCCCGATGAGTACATTTCTTATCAAGTATTGTTGCCTCCTCTTTTGTTTCCCCTTACTATCCCTGCCCTCCCATCTCCATGAAACTCTTTATCTCCAATAAACCACCAGAAAACTAGAAGTGGTGCTGTGGCTCAAATGGGAGAGCACTTGCCTTGAGCTGAAGAGCTGAGGGACAGTGCCTAGGCCCAGAGTTTAAGCCCCACAACCACCGAAAAAAATCAAAACAAGTAAAACAAAACAAAAACTGGAAGAAGTGTGGCTCAAATGGTACAGTGCTAACCTTGAGCAAAAAGGCTCAGGGATAGCCTAGGTCCTGAGTTCAAGCCTTACAATTGACCCCCCCCCCCAAAAAAAAAAAAGTCTGGCCAGGTGTGAGTGGCTTACACCTGTAATCTTAGCTATTCAGGGACTGGGAAGGTAGCTCAGTGGTAGAGTCTTGCCTTCCATGCTTGAGGCCCTGGGTTCGATTTCTCAGCACCACATAAGCAGAAAAAGCCGGAAGTAGCGCTGTGGCTCAAGTGGTAGAGCGCTAGCCTTGAGCTGAAGAGCTGAGGGACAGCGCCCATGCCCAGAGTTCAGGCCCCATAACTCACAAAAACAAAAACAAAATCTTAGCTATTCAGGAGGCTGAGATCTAAGGATCAGAGTTCATAGCCAGACTAGGCAGGGAAGTTCCTGAGCCTCATCTCCAAATAACCACCAAAAAGCTGGAAGTAGCCAGGTGCCAATTGCTCACACCTAGCTACCCAGGAAGACTGAGATATGAGGATTGTGGTTTAAAGCCAACCCAGGCAGGAAAGTCTGTGAGACTCTTGTCTCCAATTAACCACCAGAAAACAGGAAGTGATGCTGTGGTTCAAGTGGTAGAGCACTCACCTTGAGCTGAAGAATTCGGGGACAGTGTCCAGGCCCAAAGTTCAAGTCCCAGAAAACAAAACAAAACAAAACTGCAAGTAGAGCTGTAGTTCAAGTGGCAGAGCACTAGCTTTGAGCAAAAGCAGCTCAGAAACAGTGCCTGGGCCCTGAGTTCAAGCACCACGACTGGCGGGAAAAAAAAGTCTGTAAACGTAGAGATGCTGAGGCTGCCAATGCACTTTCACTGAAGTGGCAAGATTCAGTAATGTACCCCAAAATGCTCCAAGAAGACCCCACGATTGGCACTGATGCATACATATACCTTTCATTATAAGTGGTATCTAGATATTAACGTGATTCCAGAAAAAAAGCCCTAACTGACGTCATTTCCCAACAGTGCGACAAGGTCTATTTTTGTTTTTCCCTAAGATACTCTTCTCCAGTATGGCAGGAGGGCAGAGCAGTGTGGCTCGCACACACCTCACTAGCTCACAGCTGGGATCCTGCCCTACAGGTACATTCACTTCCATCTGTATCCGCTCTCAATATGCAAAGTTGAAACCCAATCATCATGCCCAAGCCTTTCTTTTTTGGGGTGGCAGTACTGTACTACCTAGGAAGGTGCTCTACCACTGGGCCATGCTTCTAGCCCTTCCCTTTCTTCACACTAGTTGTTTTTGAGATTAGGGCCTTGCTTCCTGTCTGGGCACCCACCTGGGCCATACCTATCTATTTTAGGCTTCTCAGTCTATTTATCAAGATGACAAGCGTGCAATCATGCCAGCTTCTTTTGTCCAGACTCTCACAGACTTTAATGCCTAGGGCTAACCTGGAACCATTATCCTCTCAATCTTAGCCTCTGGTATGACAGGCATGTGCCACTTTATCCAGCAATGGGCTCAGAAGGGGCCTCAAGAATTTTCTGCCCAGGCTGACCTCAAACTGTGATCCTTCCTTCCCAGCCTCCAAGAAGCTAGGATTACAGGAATGAACTACTGGTGCCTGGCTTATGATCCGATCTATATAAGATCAACTTTTCTCTCAGGTCTACGAACACTGACCTTCACATCCAGGAAGAATATGAGAGATTATTTGGAAAAATACAGGAAGTTACAGACACAATCCAGCAGATGGCACTCTCATCTCGAGAGATGACGGAAGCAAAGTGATCAAAACCAGCGCTGCAGAGGCATTCTGCAGCTGTCTCAAGCCTGGCCTGGCAATCACTGACCCCATGGCCAGGCTCCCCAGGCAAAGGGGCCTTCTGGAACCTCCTCCTCTGTCTCTCACCAATTTATCCCTTCCTTCTTCTAGTTCATTTTTTTCCTGTTCATAAAGGCATGCATATCACGGTGTAAGTGATCCCCATGTACAGATACATACTGCATGGAACACCAGAGAGAGAGACTTAGTGAACGGAAGGGCCGCCATCAACCAGTGGATTTTAAATACATCATTCCTATAAAAAAAAAAGAGAGAGAAAAGAATTAAAAAGAGGAGCCTTCTCTCAAAGGGCACGTATCAGGGCTACTGAAAAGTAGGCACTTAACAGAATCTCAGCAAACTACAAAAGTAATCCTTTTTAAAGAAAGTAGTTTCTGTCACCAGAAAAGGCTGGAGATAGAGTAAAAAGCCCCCCCCCCCACTCTCTCTTGTATACAATGTGATGCTGTGAATCCAGAAATATGCACTGAAGCTTTCAGTCCTGACAAGACAGAAATCTTCCTCCTGGAAACTACCCTGGAAGGCCACATGAGTGACGGTAGACTCCAGTTGCAGGCCAGCGTAGGAGGGCTGAGTGCTAGTATGGAGCAAGGTGGCAGGAAGCATGGGCCCTTGACCCCACCCACACTTTCTCTGAAACACCACTCCCACCCACCAGGTACCAGAGTCAACTGCTGGGCTGCCAGGCATTAACTTCCTCTTCCCATCCCACCTCCTCCTGGGATGAACCCAACAGGACACACAGGCCACTGAGAATGTGAAACCTAGAAAGACCGAGGGAAAGCCACACGGAGCATGTACACACTAGGCATGGACTCTCAGATACTGGCTCTCGGATACCACATTAGTGGTATCTGCAAACCACATCAGTGAGACAAACAAATCCATGGAAATAGACTAGAGAGCTCAGGAGACTTTTTCACACCCAACTAGCTTCACATGAGATCCAGCAGCTAAATTGGTAGGAAAGGATATATTGTTTGGTACCTGCCCTGAGGAAGTATCAGCTTGAAAATACAGAACAAATAAAGTGGGGCCTCTACTCCCTACACACAGGAAGAGGGACTCCAAGTGCATTTCCAATCCAGATATTCAGTACATATTCTCTGTCATCTTGGAGTAGCCAAGGGAAATCAAGAAAGGACTAAATTCAGATAGCTCTGACTCCATTACAATGGAAAACTTTCATTCAACAATGCATACCAACAAACCAACTTAATAATTGGGAGAACAAAATAACTGCAATGCTCAAGACAGACAAGGAATCAAGGTCCAGAATATGCAAGAAACTTGTGCAAAGCAACTAAAAAAAAGCCCGAGAAGTCACAAGAAAATATGCAAAGACTAGAGGAGGCCAGGGCTTAGAATGTGGCCTAGTGGCAGCGTGCCTCCTCCTGTTCCTCAGAGGACAGAGGCCTAGGAGATCTCAGGAGGGGGACAGCGCTCAATGGAGGGGCTGGAATACTGCTCCCATGGAAAGACCTCAATCGCGCTAAACCTCAAGACCTTCTTGCGAAACTGGGAACATTCCCTCAGCAAACTGCTGGAACGCTAGCCAGCCCAACCAACTAACTAGCATGGTGCGCCTGACTACGGTGACTGCCTCCACAATGTATGCTGGCAACTCTCGCCTTTCTTCCAGTCCCAAGGAGCTCTGCGTCTCTGAAATGTGGCCAGCAGCCTTGGAGTCGCGTGCTTTTATGTCACCTCCATTTCCAACCTCACAGAACTGGCTGGAAGACTGGAAAAACCTGGGGAGGGCATCAATCACACCTCGCTGTAGGTAAATGATATGTCAACGGGATCAAAAATCTGACTTACACAAAGCAGGTCAGCCTCATTTAGTCAGAAACGTAAGCCTCCTCTCAATTTTAGATTCGTGAATCAGTGGCAATGACTTCGGCTTCCACTGAGTAGGCACATGGCCGGGAAGCTATGTGAGAGGCATCTTGAGTTTGCATAGCACCCCTACTCAAAGCCCCTGAGGGGGTCACAGACCTAACAACCTAAGACACTGGAGGAAAGGAAGGCAGAACACTGACGGTCCCAGGTGTGAGGCTGAGGAACAAGACACACAGAAAGCTGTGAGGCAGACCGCAAGTCACAAAGTTCACACTTCCGACTTCTCTAACCAAGGTAAAAGGAACATTTTATTTAAAACTCCAAAAGGTTCCTGGCCTGCATTTGGATGACTCTTGCATGGTAATGGCAGTCTGGTGATCAAATGGGGTCATGTGGGGCTTCACATCGTCTGGCAGTGTCACACAATGACCAGTGAGTTCTGGCTAGCAGAGTCCAGCCTGAGGCATGTCCTTTAGGTGACAGAAGTCGCCATTCTCCCCCCTCCAGAAAGGAATGTGGGCGGGCTTCATTATTCTGTAATTCCAATCGGTACATAATACTCTAAAACCACACTGAAACACCATCACCATGTGGCCCACGAACCTTCCACTGCAACAAATACATGCTGTGGTTCTCATATTGTCAGTCTATGGGGAGGGAAAGCGTGGAGCCCATCTATGCAGCTGCTCCACTGAAGAACCAAGCACCGGAAGTCAAAGGCTTAGGGGTTTTAGAACAAAGGCCCAGAGACAGGCAAATGGGCTTTGAAGAGGTTTTCTGAAGGTCTCACATCTGGACAGAGAAATAATCCAGGCAGGCTGTGAGCCCACGCCTGCAGTGCCAGGTGGCTCCCTAAGCTCGCACGCAGGCAGCATCACTGAGCTTGTCAGGACACGCAGCCCTGTAAAGGTACCAACAGCTGACTCTGAGACCGAGACAGCGGGGTCCCTGCCCTGGAAGTACTTTGCTTGCAGATGACCAATGCATTCAGAGTTGCTTCTTAACACAGAACACAAAACATGGGAGCGAGCAAAAAAAACAAAAACAAAAACCCAAGGCAGGTAAAGCCATCCTCCCTGAAGCACACCTGCATGGGACCGCTGTGCCCTGGTGTCTCAGGGAAGGGAAGACGCCCTTCAAAGAGGGAGCAAAGCCGCTTACTGCCGCCTCCCCCCAGTGCAGAGCCCAGCACAAGGTCAACCATGCAAGTCGGAATCCACACTCAAAGAAGTCATTGTTACCTTTGTTTCCGAAGAATGTGAATCCAGATGATCCCAGAAAGGAAGAAGAAAAAGGCCACGGAGATGTATAGCCTGGGGAGGGGGGCCTCCCCAGCAGAGAGGTAGCTGTCAGGGTTCTTCTCCGTGATCTTAATCTGAAACCAACACAAAGTCACCTTCCACTGTGGCGGAATGGCTCCCTCAGCCACTCCACTAGAGGTCAGGACAGTGAGGACAAGCAGTGGACACCACATGGGGACTGCACTGGTTGACATGGAAACATGTCCCAAATGTCTCTAGTCTCTTATTCATATAATCCTCTGCTGAAGTACCTTGCCCACATCTTCTCTTAACGAAGTAGTCATGAATGAAACATTCAATGGTAAAGTGCATGCTTACCATGTGTAATGTAAAGCCCTGGGTTGGATCCCTTCCCACCCCCACCCCCCCAAAAAACAAACAAAAGCCAACAAGGAAACAAAAAACTACTTTTCCTGTATATGTACCAGTCCTGGGGCTTTAAGTCAGGGACCCGGGCACTGTCCCTGAGCATCTTTGCTCAAAGCTAGCACTCTACCACTTAAGCCACAGATCCACTTTTGGCTTCTCTCTCTCTCTCTCTCTCTCTCTCTGTGTCACAGATCCACTTTTGGCTTTTCTCTGTGTGTGTGTGTGTGTGTGTGTGTGTACTTTCCTGTAGCAGGAAAGCCTAGCTTTTGGCTTCTCTCTCTCTCTCTCTCTGTGTGTGTGTGTGTGTGTGTGGTTTATTGGAGATTAGAGTCTCATGGACTTTCCTGCCTGTACTAGCTTTGAATCAGGATCCTCAGCTCTCAGCTTCTGGAATAGCTAGGATTACAGGCATGTGTTTTTTTTTTTTTTTTGGGTCCAGTCGTGGGGCCTGAACTCTGGGCCTGGGCGCTGTTCCTCAGCTCTTCAGCTCAAGGCTAGTGCTCTACCACTTGAGCCACAGCGCCACTTCCGGCATTTTTCTTTTTTTGCTTATGTGGTGCTGAGGAATCGAACCCAGGGCCTCAGGCATGCAAGGCAAGCGCTCTACCACTGAGCCACCTTCCCAGCCCCAGTCATGTAATTTTTTAAAAAGAAAATATCCAGAATTGGCTAGGCTACAAGAAAATGAATAGCACTTTGTATTTCTTTTTCTTTTTTTGGTCGGTCAGGGGTCTTGAACTCTGGGCCTGGGCGCTGGCCATGAGCTCTTTAGCTCAAGGCTAGTGTCCTACCACTTGAGCCACAATACCACGTCTGGTTTTCTGGTGGTAACTGGAGGTAAGAGTCTCATGGGGGCAGGGAAGTCAGTGGTAGAGTGCTTGCCTTGCATGCATGAAGCCCTAGGTTCAATTCCTCAGCACTACATAAGCAGAAAAAGCCAGAAGTGGCTCTGTGACTCAAGTGGTAGAGCGCTAGCCTTGAGCTGAAGAGCTCAGGGACAGCACCCAGGTCCAGAGTTCAGGCCCCATTTGAACCGTAATCCTCAGATCTCAGCCTCCTGAGTAACTAGGATTACAGGCATGAGCCACCAGTGCCCAGCTGCACTTTATATTTGTGATAGGAATATAAATTCACCTAATTCACTCAGGAAGGAATTTCAGAATCAGTGTCAATATTCTCAAAAGTATTCATAGCCTTTGAACCAGAAATTCCAATTCTGGTGACACATCCTATGGGAAGTTCCACAAAAGCAAACATTTCCACATATCATGGACAGCAAACGTGTTTCCTTAGGGGAAAGGGTGAGCAAACGACAGAATGCACTTAACAGGACTTTCAATAGGTATGAGGTATGGTAAATGAACAGGCAAGCACAAAAAATTAAAAGGCATAATTGTAAGTTTTAAAAAGCAAATGTTCTAGGGCTGGGAATGTGGCCTAGTGGTAGAGTGCTTGCCTAGTATGCATGAAGCCCTGGATTAGATTCCTCAGTACCACATACACAGAAAAAGCCGAAGTGGCACTGTAGCTCAAGTGGTAGAGTGCTACCCTTGAGCAAAAGATGCTCAGGGACAGTGCCCAGGCCCTGAGTTCAAGCCCCAGGACTGGCAAAAAAAAAAAAGGCAAATGTTCTAAATGTAAGAAACATGCTTAATAAGGAAACATAAATGACGGCATTCTGACACTGGGAAGATAACTGGGAGAGATAACTGTTCTTCCACATCTTCACATTTCCCGCCTTTCCTGGTTATGTATTTATGATAAGCTCCACAATGAGACAGTGCTAATCACGTTAGATCATGTTTGTTCTCACTGTGAAGGAAACCTTCAACAGAGCAGGCTGGTAAGAATCAAATGTTAGTTTACCCTTAAGTTTTACCTAGTACATTCTGAGTTTGGTCGCCTTTGTTGAACTTAGCCTCCTGGACTTTCTTGTCATTGGTGAGGATAATCTTTGGAAACTGAGTTCCAGCTTCTGGTGGAGATTTGACTTTTACTCTGCATGCAAACACAAGGGAAGGGTGAGTGTTCAAGCAGTGCTTCTGGTCATTCACAGTAAGTACAGCAGGCAGGGGCATCCTGTGAAGCTCTAACTTGCCCCTCCGCCCCCCCCCCCACCATCATCCTTGTGACATCCAACAGTGCAGAGATTCTACGAGCCACATTGTATAAATGCTGAAACTAGGGTGCACAGAAGGTTAAGAACTGGCCTGTGTGCTGCCAATATAGCTAAGTGGCATAGTACTCACCTAGCATGGGACCCTGAGTTCAATCCTCAGTTCTCCACCCTGCTCCCTCAATAAAAGAACTTGCCCAAGGGCTTCCAGCTAGGAAGCAGCTGCATGAAGGTCCTGGCAGTCTTCTAAAGCCAACATGGTGTTGGCGGTTTCCTCTAAGTATCCTTAATGTGCACCATTGGTTGGTGCAAAGGGAAAGGGAACAAGAAGCAGAAACCACTAAGACATTAAAGTGAGGCTAGGGGCTGTGAGAAGGGCTGATATCCATTCTGTCTCCCCCTTCCCCTTGTTAATGCCTTCCACTCCAGCAAGGCCCCGGGCAGTTTGTATGCCTGAGTGTACACATAATCTCAGTGCCAACAGGCAGGCGCTTCTCCCCCTGACTGGGAGACAGCGTCCCTCTTGTCTCTCCCATGGAGCTGGCTGTGAGGAAGGAGCAGATGCCAAAGACAGCAGAGAAGAGGTGAAAAAACACTGGATTCCTAACCTCAGCAAGCTGCGGCAGGCCTGCCCTCACCCCATGGGTCACACCTGGAGCCTCAAGGTGAGGCCTTCTTTCCTTGCTACTCCAGCCAAGCTAGCTCAAGTCCTAACAGATGGAAGAGCCATCAGACCTCATGTTCTCATAGGAGAACACAAGCAATTGTGGACAATGTTTGTATTATTAGACCTATGACTTTTTGTTTTTGTTTTGTTTTGCCAGTCCTGGGGCTTGAACTCAGGGCCTGGGCTCTATCCCTGAGCCTCTCTATGCTCAAGGCTAGCGCTCTACCACTTGAGCTACAGTGCCACTTCGGCTTTTTCTGTGTATGTGGTACTGAGGAATCACACCCAGGGCTTTGTGCATGCTAGGTAAGAACTCTATCACTGAGCCACATTCCCAGCCCCTGTTGTTTTAAAAGAAGCTTCTTCATTATTTCTCCTCTCTCCAGTCAGGCTCATCTTAAATTTGCTTGTTCTGAGCTGTCAATGAGTGGCCTTGAAAGCAAGTGTGAACACACTGTTTCTAGCTTGAAACTGTTTGAAGGTTCCTTCAGAAATTATACGTAAGGGACCATATGATGCCAGGTAGAAATAAGCCAAATTCAAGAACCAAAGTCCCATAATTCATCTCAGTTCCAAAGTTTTAAAAAGACCAAAATGCTAGAAATCCAATAGCTACAACCCTTTTCTTTTTTTCTTTTTTTTTGGGGGGTGGGGGTGGGGGGAGGCCTGGGAATGTTACAAAGTGCTCCATGCATGCTAAGCAGGTGCTCTACCACTGAGCCACACCCTCAGGCCTCCCCAACAGTGTTATGGGGCAGATACTATGGCTATGAGGTAGGTAAGCCAAAGTCCTCAAATCTCACACAGATGTGAAAGGCAGAAGTTGTTATCTGGACCCAAGCCTGTCTTGCCTATCTTTGTTAATGTTTTTTGCTAGTACTGGGCTTGAACTCAGGGCCTTTTCACTCAAGACTGGAACTCTACCACTTAAGCAATACTTCCACTTCTGGCTTTTTGCTGGCTAATTGGAAATAAGTGTTTCCAGGATTTATCTGCCCAAATGGGCTTTGGATCTCAATCTCCCATAGCTAGGACTCCAGGCATGAGTCACTGGTACCCATCTTCTGTTGATGTATTTTCTATCATAACAAACACAGCTTCCTGAGTATGTTATTCTACCTATTAACAGACCACAACCTCTGCTGCCAATGCCCTTTCCTTCTTCCATCTGGTAAAAGCTGAGCTACCAGAAGCTGCATGGGCCAACAATGACCTGGAGTCTTCCCTTCCCTTCCCTAGCACAGTTATGGGTTCTCTTCCCTTCTACCGCTCTCCTTTGCTATGATGATTTTCATTGCTCCTCTGTCTCCCCACTAATTTGCAAATTCCCAGAGGCCTTATCGCTCTCACGGTGTGTCACCTCCAGTACTGAGTTCCAGCAGACACAGTAATGCACTGGCAGATACCCAGTGAATGCAAGTGGGTGACTAAATGCTCCCTAGCTGTATTCTAGAGTCAAAGGAAGAAATTTAGAATTACTTACTCACTTCTGGAGATGTCTAGGATTAGAAGGGCGACAGAGGCAGATTGTTTCCTTAAAATACAGTAGTTTGCATCTTCATCCTGACGAAGAAGAGTCAATTGGGGGTTGGGAATGTGGCTCAGTGGTAGAGTGCTCACCTAGCATGTATGAAACTCTGGGTTTGATTTGTCAGCACCACATAAACAGAAAAGGCCAGAAGTGGCACTGTGGCTCAAGTGGCAGAGCGCTAGCCTTGAATATAGAGAGGCTCAGGGATAGAGCCCAGGTCCTGAGTTCAAGCCCAAGGACTGGGGGGGAAAAAAAAGAGTCAATTATATATTTCATCTTGTTCATTCATACAAGAGCAAGGCAGACAATTGTTGGGACCAAGGTACACAGAGGGACTGGAAAATGCGTAGCCATCAAAGCAGCCATCACGCAGAGGAAGTGGCCCTTCAGGCAAGCCGGGGCTCCACCCAGGGTCCTGGGCTTTCATAAAGTCACTGGGCAGGCTGCCACTAAATACTTACCAAGTAAGAAGAAAAGCCATCATTCTTCGTCCGGTCAAGGCTGAAGCCAATCCCCTAAGGGAGAATGTGACAGGAGAAGTAAACTCCACACCTGTGCAGCCTTTCTTCCTCTTTAGGCCTGCTTTCTTCCCAGTTTCCTTAGACTTTATTTTGTAAGAATGCAATAGCTATAGCCGGGCACTGGTGGCTCACGCCTGTAATCCTAGCTACTAAGGAGGCTGAAATCTGAGGATCTCGGTTCAAAGCCAGCCTGGACAGGAAAGTCTGTGAGACTCTTATCTCCAATAAACCACTAGAAAACCGGAAGTGGCGCTGTAGCTCAAGTGGTAGAGTGCTCGCCTTGAGCTGAAGAGCACAAGGACAGCACCCAAGCCCAGAGTTCAAGCCCCACGACTGACCAAAAAAAAAAATGCAAAAGCTATTCAACTTAGGGCTGGGGGAATGGCTCAGTCATATAGCACTAGCATGATTTGATCCCTAGTACTGTAAGAAAAAAAAGAACTACAACTAAGTGTTAAAATGAATGGATGCTTACTATGCATTTGATCCTCACAAGTTTTAACTCTCCATATTCTGATACTTCACACAGCCAGGTGTCGTGGCTCATACATGTAATCTTACCTATTCTGGTGGCTGAGTTCCAAAGATCATGGTTTGAAACCAGCCTAGACAGGAAAATCCTTGAGACTCATCTCCAAATTAACTACCAAACCCCCCCCCCAAGAAACTCAGAAGTGGAGCTGTGGCTCAAGTGGTAGAGTACTAGCCTTAAGCAAAAAGGCTTAGGGACAGTACCCAGTCTATGAGTTCAAGCCCCAGAACTAGCAAAAAGAAAAGAAAGAAAGAAAGAAAGAAAAAAAAGATGAAGGCTAAGTCTTTGACCTAAACTGCAATAGTAAACACTTCCACCCTTCACCCAATCTCCCAGAGGGGGACTTAGGCTACCTACATCAGGATCCTTGTCTGTGGCTTGTTCAGGCTCATTCACGGAGAGGCTGCTGACATTAACCACCATGTACCCATCTTTGAAGAATCCAAAGGTGTTCAGATGAACTTTATGCCTCACATCGTCCTAAAGAGATTTGTTGTGGTAGAATTAGCAACATGGAAAAGTTAATTTTGGATTTTAACTTAATCATTCATTGCCTGGAAAACCGCAGTAGTCAGTTTCCATATGCTCATGGTATATACACATATGGCTATAGCACCTTCTCTTTATTCTTCATAAAGTCCTAAAATATCAATAGTAAGCAAAAGAGAACACCCAGCCGGAGCAATGCTCTCCACCACAGGTGTAATGGGAATGGGGCAGACTGCTGCCAGCTAGCACGGGAACCCCAGGCAAGACCAAGCACACTTTAGTCATCAATGCAGCCTCCCTCACAGTACAATGCCTGCTATGCCATGGGCACTCCAAGCTCCTAGAGAATGTGGAAAAAAAGAATGGCCAATGTCATTTCAAGGACACAGCTTCATCAGTGTGTATGTGCCTGCTCCTCCTACTGCAGGATGGAGAGTCCACTTTTTTTTTTTTTGGTCAGTCGAGGGCTTGAATTCGGGGCCTGGGCACTGTCCCTCAGCTCTTCAGCTCAAGGCTAGCACTCCACCACTAGAGCCACAGTACCACTTCTGGTTTTCTGGTGGTTAATTGAAGATGAGAGTCTCACAGAATTTCCTGCCCGTTTGTCTTTGAACCATGATCCTCAGATCTTAGCCTCCTGAGTAGCTAGGATTATAGGAGTAAGCCTCAGCACCAAGCTGGGGAGTCCACTTTCTAAGCTATAATCCTATTTTTTTAAGTTCATTTGTACCTAAAAATGTATGATGGGTTACAGGGAACATATCTCATAAAGAACCACATCCACAGGGTGCTGGTGGCTCACACCTGTAATCCTAGTTACTCAGGAAGCTGAGATCTGAGGATCACAGTTTAAAACCAGCCTGGGCAGGAAATTCCGTGAGTCTCTTATCTCCAATTAACCACCAAAACTGGAAGTGGTACTGTGGCTCAAGTGGTAGAGTGCTTTGCCTTGAGCTGAAGAGCTCAGGCCTTGTTCAAGCCCCATAACTGACAAAAAGAGAGAAAGATAGAAAGAAGAAAGGAAGAAAGGAAGGACTGACTGACCGACCGACCGACCACAGGAACTACAGGTGCTGATGGCTCACTTAGGGGTTAGTCTAGGAAACAAATCTGAGGATTGCAGTTCAAAGCGTGTTGTGTGTTTGCACACGCGCATGCGCATACACATATATCACATCACAGGAACTGGTCAAGTGGAGTTTGAATTTCTCGGCTCCTGGCAAGTCCTAAATCCTGCTGGAACTGCAGAGGTGGGCAGCCTCCCGCCCTGCCTGACTTCCTCAGTATGAGACATCACCACCAAGTCAACACACTCCAGCCCAGGGCAGTGAGGGAACAGCAAACACTTCTAAACCCCCACTCTGCAGGGACACTTGAGGTGATGTGAAAGCACAGGTTCAGATATCTGCCTAAATTGCACCACCTTTGATAAGTGTGCAGCCTCACTGTGTTAGGGGTAACTATTTCCACATCTGGAATCTTCTGGCTGTCAGAGGTAGTGTAATGCAAATGTCAAAAAAGCTGTGAAGTGAGGCTGTCCATCATCTTTGGCAGTAAGGACCTCATAGCCCACCTTCCTGGAAGCTGCAACGCACTTCATGGCCACTAGGGCTGTCTTTGCCAGCCCCCTCCCCCACCAGAGCAGCACAGCCGCCCACAGTGCAACACCCTCACCCCCACCCCCGTTTGCCTCCCACAACTGCTGAAAATCCAAGGCTCTGGGACCAAGTTCCTGCAGGGCTTCAGGGCAGCCTTGCTGGCCCTCACTTACCTCATTTCAACCTCTTTTCCTTGTGCTGACCCCTGGGAACTTCCCTTACTTTCTTAGGTGCTAGGCTATACATTGAAAGTAGGGTTGCTAGACTTGAACTTCTCAGAGGATGGATGAAGGCCCTAGAAGTAAGCCTGCACTCCGACAGAAAACAAGGACACAACAGTCATTTGCTGCTAGGGCTGGGAAGGTGGCTCAGTGGTAGAGTGCTTGACTTGCATGCATGAGGCCCTGGGTTCCATTCCTCAGCACCACATAAGCAGAAAAAGCCGGAGGTGGGGCTGAAGCTCAAATGGTAGAGCTAGTCTACAGCTGAAGAGCTGAGGGACAGTGCCCAGGCCTAGAGTTCAGGCCCCATGACTGACAAAAAAAAAAAAAAAAATCATCTGCTGGACAAAGATGGAACAGCTAAATGGAAAACAATAGAACAGGAAGGCTCCTCCTACCCTGCCTTCTGAGAGAAAAATGACAATTTCCACATTTTTTTCCAAGGACAGTGTACTTTTTTTTTTTTTCCGGTCGTGGGGCCTGAACTCTGGGCCTGGGCACTGTCCCTCAGCTCTTCAGCTCAAAGATAGCACTCTACCACTTGAGCCACAGAGCCACTTCCGGCTTTTTTCTTTTTGCTTATATGGTGCTGAGGAATCGAACCCAGGGCCTCAGGCATGCAAGGCAAGCGCTCTACCACTGAGCCACCTTCCCAGCCCGACAGTGTACTTCTACTACCATCCTGATGCAAGGAAAGGAATTCAACTGCACACAGCGCAGGCATGCTTGGCACACTCCAACTGCACACAGCGCAGGCATGCTTGGCACACTCCAACTGCACTCTGGCAGAGAGCCCCGGCTAAGCAGAACAGGGCAACAGAGAGGGAAAGAATGACGACCAGACACAAGCCCTGGCACCTGCAACCACAGGCATGAGCTGCATGGCAAATCAAGCTGCACTAGCATGCATTGCTGCAGGCACAGGGCTGGGAGGTAGGATGACCGGGGTCAGGACAACTCCCTAGACAAAGAGGCCTTGCAGGCGCTGGAAGAAGGCTGGGCTCAGTGGGCTTCTGGAGGCTCTTGATGACCATTCCTGTGGGCACCGTGTATTTACATTTGGAAACACATGGAGTTGTATACTTACAATGAATGATTTTCAGTTACTTTTCAACAAAATGGAAGTTTTAAGACTATGCTTCTAATCTGTGAAGCACACAGGTACTTTGTAAAATGGAGATTTGGTAAGCACTTCTCAGACTCACTGGGGTGCAATGTATGTAAGGAGTTACTCTGCTGTTTGGTGTGGTTTTGCGGTGGTGGACGGCACTCAGAGCCCGTGTTCCACCCCATCTCAGTTGCTTTTCACAGAAACATTTAGCCCTCTACTATTTCTCGTGGCTTCTTGTCATTTCATTTGATGACACTGTGCTATTAAAAACAGGGCTTTGCTCATTTTAGAGTCTAGTTTTTTGTACTCTCTAAACATTGCACTATATAGCAGGAGCTTTCCCAGTGATTTCTAAACCTCACTCAGTCCCATGGCTGGGATGAAAGTCAGGAGCAAAATGACAACCCACGGCTAAAGCGTGTAATAGGAAAGCTGGGATTGGTGGTCAGTCAGGCCAGCTGATCCATACTGTCATTTACCAAAGTGTTCTCTAAGGCTTACACAGTGACACCTGTTTCAAAAACAAAACCAAGCCAGGTGCTGTGGTTCACACCTGTAATCCCAGCTCTTCAGAAGGCTGAGATTTGAGGATCATGGATGGAAGCCATTCCAGACAGGGAAGTCTCTGAGACTCTCATTTCCATTAAACTACCAAAAAAAAAAAAAAAAAAAAGCCAACAGTTGTGGCTCAAGTGACAGAGTGCTAGCTTTGAGCAAAAGAAGCTAAGGAAGGGCTAGTGCACCAAGTTCAAGCTCCAGGACCAGCACAAAATAAAACAAAAAACAAAAACTCCACCAGGTGTATTGCACTTAATTCTAAGTCTTGAAAGAATTTCACTAAACTATAGCAGGTATAATCTGTTATACTCTTCTGTATTTTCTGAGTTACTAACAATGCTTGTGGATTATACTGACATATAATCAGAGGAAAATCAAGTGGGATTTGCCAGTAATATCTGGAGGACACTCACCTATGCTAACATCACATTTATCACCACATCTAAGGCCCACATAAGTAAGAGACCTGTAAACTGCCAGGCACACGGATCATAGACAAACAGGAATTCCCAGACCACAGGCCATCAATGCAGAAGGATGCACATTCAAACCACTCTAGCTCAGCGGGAGTGCTGGCCTACACCCTCATTCTTCAGCAATACAAATAAAAAGGAACAGTCATCCCACTTTATTCTACTCAATTCAATATAAATAAACTACTATTTTTTTAGAATGCCACCAAGGGCTGAGGCCCAAGAAGCGAAAACACTGTCCCAGAGGGAAACAGTCCTTTTGCCGTGAGAAGCGGGCATCTGGGCACACTGCACAGGCGTGGTCGCTAAGCCAGCAGCTGGAGATGGGGTGGCACGGGGAAGTGGCATCCTCAGTGCTCCATCTCCTTCCCCTCCGCTGCGCCCTGCAGAGAAAGCAGTGTGGGTTCCTGACAGCACAGGGAGGAAGGAGAAGCACACAAGCAAGGGGGATCTGCAAGGGGATGGCAGGGTGGGGAAGACAATTCCAGACCCAGCAATGCAGACTTCTCCAACATTTTCAAGCCCCACTGGGGCCTGCCCACATGCAATGACAGCCGTGAGGTTCGTTTACATGCCTAGTTCCTGCACTCAGCATGGAGGCAGGTATCATTCTGTCGTTTTATAGACCAGGAACCAGGTTCAGGGAGGTAAAAGGAGCTTAAAACCATAGCAGGTAGCAGAAGTGGTACCACTTAAGTGCAAAATCCTGCTTTGAACTTCTGCTTTCTACAACCAAATAAATAGTATATCTTTTGTTTTGAACTTGAAGTAGAAGCCATCAACCCCTGGCAGATTTTTCTCTGTCTGTACATCTGTCTCCCTGACCCCACACTCAGCTAACAGACATCCTGTCACTTCCTCTACAAGGCTCCAGCATATATTTCTGATAAGGGTTTTAAAAATCATAACAGCACAGTAAGCTGCTTATCAAGTAGAATGAGCCAGCCAGCCCACTAAGGAGAAATCAAGGTCAAACAAACAGGATATCAGAGTACCGGACTGACAAGAATCAGCCTGAAAATCTCTAATG